AGCATGAAGAAGCAGCAGAGAGAAGAATGACTGAAACCATCTCCATCCTCTGCAGTCACAGAGGAGATATGTGTTCACCTCCTTGCTGCTCTGGTAGTTAAAAAAACACAGGCTGGCTAAGAAGAGAAGCATATCTCTCCCCTTCTGATGTTTTCTGTTGGAAATCTAAGCCTGGGCTGCTCTGTGTGCGTCACGCTCACAACATTTCAGGTAGAAGAACAGAAATTGTCAACCAGCAATCAAAAGGCAGCATGTTTTCAGTGATTTAATTAGTATTTTTAATAAGGCATATGAGAGAAATCATCATTCATAGGAGCTTCTGAAGCAATATCACAGCAAGATCCCAGCTAGTGACACAATGAAAGTATGAGAGCTAGAAGGACACCTCAAGGAGAGATGCTTTTGTCACTAGCTACTGTAATTGAACTCGGGGTTAAGAATTTAAGAACTTAATATTTTAAAACAAACAAACAAAAAGACATTTTAATTGTGAGCTCTTTAAAAGACATATTAAAATAAAAATTAAAAACAGTGTAATTGTTGCTGTGGCATAGATTCACAAATATGTTCATCCACTGAGAGTAAAAGGGCAAGGAAAAAGTGAATGAAAGACAAAAAAAATCAATTATTTCTTCCTATTTGATCCCTAATTCTCTGCTATTGCCAGATCACACAGTAGCACATACCAGCTGTAGCTGTAGCACTTCACTTAAACGCTCCAAGATGACCAGCGTTAAAACAGAAGTATGAGCTCTGCTTGAATTGCAGACTCCATTAGCAGAACTGATTCAGCCAGGGAAAGCCCAGCTGGGCAGGATCATCTACTGCCCTAGTTAGTGTGCAGAACATTTGCTAAAGGCACTGGTAATTTGGGAAAAAAAATTAAAAAATGGGACAAATTCTGTTCTCGGTTACTGCATTATAAGGCTGAACAAATTCCATTCATGTCGGAGGCTCTAAACTAAATTTATTTAGGAGATTAACATAGAAATTGTCTCTTTGTGTCGTTTAGCTTTCAGGCTAATTAAGTGAATTTTCCATCGATTTGAAGGGCAGAAGTGGGTACCTACCAGCCACTGCCACTCCAGCAGTGCGGGTTGGATGAATGCTGCTCATCCTTAAAATGAGCAGCAGAAAAGAAAAATGCACCTGCACCAAAATTTAGCTTCAGGCTATATCAACATGTACAAAAGGTTAAAACTACTCTCACGCAACAGTGAATGTAGAAACCTGCCTCCAGTTAACTTAGCAAGTCAGAAATATAAAATTACTTGAAGAGAAGCAACACCACTTGCAGATCCCCAGGAGCCTCTAGTTTGAAGATAGCTGGCTATGAATTTCTGTGTAGGGATGGGGGGGGATAACACACGTGAGCACAGCACAGTGTAACTCACTTTTATCACCCATTTTACATTGGAGGCTTCAGCAAAGCCTGTCTGAGGTTGCTGGAACTGAATTACACGCGCTCCTGGCAGCTCACTGCGGTGTAATGTGGGTCCAGTTTCGTGAGACACCAAGCACTTGCAGCTTTCACAGCCTTTGGTAAAAGCTGACAGCACTGAGCACCTTGCAAGGTCACATCCTGGAAGAAGATTGTGCTTTATTTAAATTAAAAAAGCAGGTCTGAGCCCCGGGAAGGATATTCACTGCAAGCTATGGATGTGACTTTACAGAAGTGCTTCTGACTTCCCTTCACGCCCCTCTCTGATGCTATCCAGACACTTTCAAACTTCCACCCGCCCAGCCAGATGACATTTTGCATCAAGACAACTTTCGATCTCGGTTTTTACGAGTACTTTTCCCTCTTACCTATCAAAAACCACGGCAGCGTAGGCTGGCTCCGCAAAGATGACATCCCCGGGCAGGAATTCCTTCTGTGCTTTCAAGCCCCTGCCTTTGCCTTCAGACGTGAACACTTCGACTGACTCCATTCCCCCTTTAGTCATCCCCGGAACCCCCAGGGTATCTCAGGGCGAGCCAAATCTCCCGTCACTCCTGTCAACTTCGTCTGGCCACAGGACCACGCTTATAAAAGGGCTGGCCTACCCCCACCCCCGGCCGCACCGTTTCCCATAGGAGGGCGAGGGGGTGGGTGCAGGAAAAGCAGGAGGAGAAGATCTCCCGTGCGATATTGGCAGCCTAGGCAGGGAAGAAGGTGCAGGGCTGGGTCTTCTGCTGCATTAGGAAACCCCTCTCCAAAACCCACGTTTGGAATTGTTGCTCCCAGCCACGAGCGGTTGTGTATGTTAGGACTCGGGTTAATTTATCCGCTCCTATTGGGGAGGGAATGTATTCTCTTTGCAGGGTGTATTTTTAGCAACCACATGTTTCTGTCTCTCAGGAAGCAACAGCTGAGACAGTGGGACGGGGAGGGCTGGTATGCATATTTCTGACCCCTTCCACTGTCGTCTGGCTTTTTCCAGAAATTAAACAATGCTGCTTTATTTTTACCCTCCAGGAGATGGACGGCATATTTAGAGGCAGGGAGAGCAGAGGAACTTGCGCCCTGAAATTCTCTGCCTCCTCCATCGCCACTGGAGCCTGGAAAAAAGGACATCGCTTCCCAAATGCCGGCGGTGAGCACGCAAAGCAGCGAGGAAGGAGCTGGAAGGGCAGCAGCGGTTTGGCACGGGCTGCGGAAGCAAGCAGAACATCTTAGATATTTGCACAATTTTGGATGCATTAATCTCAGAAATGGCAGCACATTTGAGGGCTCTCCCCACCTCCAGTACTCAACCTTGAGAAGAGAAGGAGGAATTTGACCCACCATAGGGTAAAGGAGGGTGGAGAGACAACCAGAGAGATAATGCCCATGAGAACCCAGTCCCCTTTTTGCCCTCTGTCTCCAACAGCTAGAGCATGTTCAAGGTGATGCAAAGGAAGGCCTCCATGTGTAACAGTGAGCCTTGCTATGGAAACTCAACTCAGCCTAGGCTGTCATTCAGCATTTATTTTATCCTTTAACAGCATTTTGTGTGGCTGGTTCTCTACCATCTCAGCCTCCCACTGCTAGGAAACCTGATTCTGTTTCCTCACGGATTTCTAAGCACCATACAGACATCACTGTTTGCAAAACTCTTCCCACACCTCCTTGCCGCACAGAAAAACCTATCTGATTAATAGATAGGGAAAGCAAGGTGCAGAGATGTAAGGAGGATAATTCCTGTGCATCCCTAGACTTGTTTTGTCAGAGGACTTGCTTTACCTAACCAATGCGGTGGGAAGTATTGTCCTCTTCAAGACAGCCTCAGAACTGCTCAGCATCTTCTGCTGAAAGCTTCTGGCAATTTTCCTTTCCTGCAGATGAAGTATGGTATCGCACTTCAGCTCAAATACCCTCTGTTATAGTTTGCCCGAGTGTGCCAAGCACAAACGATATCAATCCAGAGCTCCATAAAGTCAGGGTGATCTGGGTGCTCATGTGGTTATTAGCACTGTTCCCCAAACAACCAGCCTGCTCCACTCCTACTGAGGATGGCCAGAGCTGTCGTAGAGCTGTCAGCACAAACCTCGTAGCATTTACGCTGTACAGAAATGTCACTAGCGGCAATCAGCCACTAAAAGCAATTAGAATTTTAATTGCAATCATCTTCTGCTGTAACACATTGTGTGATGTCAGGATGTGCTGGCCTCACCTGTTACCCGTGTTTAATTCCCCTGGGCATTCAGTGCCTTTTAGATACATATATTCATCAGCAGTGCTTTAGCACCTCAAAATTAGGTGCAAAATTGATTAGGAATGTGGCTATGCTGAAGCCAGTCATTAAGCACAGTAAACACACACAGTTTCCAAATCTCAGAAAACAAATATATATATATATAATTATATCTTTACAAAGTAGTAAACTAAAACCAGGAGACCAAATTCCTCCTAGGGCAGACTTACAATAGAGTGGTTCTCTGCATGGACAGCCACCATTGCATTCAGTGCAATGTACCCTCACTCCTTCACACTGCCAAAAAACATGTAATTGAGCAAAAATCTCATTTCTCTCCTTGCAGCCTGGTGAATGCCATGGTGGTGTGCCCTCAGCTGGGTCGTAGGGGAGATCAGACATCCAACTGCACATCACATCTGCCTGGGAAATTCCCATCATTGAAATCATCGAAATACCACTAGGCCACAGTTTCATGAACAGCTGTGTACTAAATACAGTGGTAAAACTGTCCATGCAAAGAAGAATCACTGGGAAAGACGGAGAGGGCCAAGAGAAGCTGTGAAATGGGGTGTCCCAATTAAACACCTCTTTGGAGCAGTGGCTCTACTTTCAACCCCTTGGAAACATGACATATGAAAACCAGCTGGAAAGCCAGGTCAATTTTGGAGTACTGAGAAAGACAGGCCCTTAAACTGTTAATTATTCTCTGCTTTGGATATATCCCTGGCTGGTGAGGGTGAAGGGATGAGCGCCCTGTCCTCCTACCGGGAGAACAAACAGCACCATCTACTGCCCTCTGAGCATGTATCCAAATCAAAACGTTATCAAATTTAGTCCCTGCTGAACCCTCTGCCTTGCAGCCTCCACTCAGTGCAGAGCTGAACACAGCCCTCAGACAAGTTGTGAATTCGAAGGAAAAAGAGAAATAATAATAAGAAAGAAGAAATAATACTGTCCTAGGCTGGTTGTGCTTGCACTCATCCTGTCCAGCTAATTGCAGGGCTGCAATTATAATTCTGCTTTAACATTGATGTCCTGCAGGGTGAGGGTGGCCTCGCAGTACCCACACTGTTGTCCCCATGAAACAACCCCCTTTTTGGGGCAAAAGCAGGGAATATTTGGAGGGAAATGTGATTGTCATTTCCTCTGGGGACACACACCAGCATGGCAGGCCGGCTAAGCATAGGGGATTTAAGCCCTGAAGAGGAAGGATCGGTGCTTTGGGGGGTGATTGAAGACAAAGAGAGGGCGGGCTGCGTTTGGGGATGTTTTGGGGGGAGGTGTTTTGGGTACAGGTGTGGGGAGGAGACCCCGGGACGAAGCCTGCAGTCGCCGTTCAGGCTGCGGGCCCTGAGGGGAGGCGGAGGCCGGGGCAGGCTGGGCCGGGCCCCGCGGGGGATGAGGATGAAGCCGGGCTGGGCCAAAGGAGGAGCCCGCTGAGGTGTCCCGGCCCTCGGGGCTCGGTCAAGGCGGCCCTGGCGGTGGAGCCGTGGCCGTGAAGGGGGTTCTGAGGGGAGATGGCGGCTGAGGGGGGCCGAGAGCGGCAGCAGGAGGCGGCCCCGCAGCCCCAGCTCGGCCGCGGAGGTGAGTGGCCCTGGGGAGAGGGAGGAGGGTTTATAATACGTTTGAATTTAAACAATTGGATAGTTTTAGTACATTTACACTGTTATTATGGTGGAGGTGGCTGGAACACGGTTGTGCTGTCCTCTCCTTCCCAGATATAAGCCATCCTGTGGAATAACATCCCGCTAAAAAGCTAGCGAGTGGCTAAAAACAGCGGTGAACTTCCAGGAATGCCAAACCATGCATAATGGGTGTACAATATTCACGCATTGGAAGGCTTTGGTTCATGTTTTTATAGTCATTGACTGGGCTGGTTTATGGATTTTTGTTCGGTTGGTATTTTTTGGTTGGTTTTGTTTATGTATTATATTTTTTTTAAGCTAGCCACAAACTTAGCAATGCATAAACATGGTCTTTTGTTAAATATGTAAAACATCTACTAAGAGCGGATTTCCCCATTGTCGGTTAAATTTAGTAGTGCTCTGTTAAACAGAAATAACTCCAGAGGAATTAATCACCCTTGGCTGTTTGGCTGTGAGAGAAACTGGCAAGCTATGTAAGCAGGCACCTTGCTGGGGGAGAAAAAAGCAACAGAATGAGGTACACTCCTCAAAAGAATATACCTGGGGCAAGTTATGAATACACCCGTGTTTTGTTTAGGCTTGAATTCCATTTTCGAGGAATTTCAAGGGATTTTAAGGGTCCTGAGGGTAGTGTTTCTGAGCTCCTCGCCAGGTAGAGGCAGCTCGCTCCCTGACTTTTAGTGCTCAAAAGGCACAAGGCTGGTGGTTAGCCACACTGCAAGGATTGCTGGACACACAGTTGGTTCATGTCTGGGCTAAGCAGAGCTATATAAGTGGGCATCACTGACAATTTCTGTTTTTAAAGCTTGGTAAGGGACGGAGGGCAGGTATCCTTGTCTTACGTACAAGCTTAGCAATAAGTTTTGGCCTTAGAAACTTTCTGTGGCAACAGTTCTTGCTGATTTCTTCACAAATCTACACATTTTTAAATATGTAGTTTTGGTTTGGTGGTTTGTTTATCTTCAGGGGTTTCTTTGGGTTCAGTGGCAACCAGATAATAACACTTGGTACCTGCAAGTGTAGTTAATCTGTAGGTTACAAACACATTTCCTTTTCCAAGACTCAGTATGTAGCACGTGCTTGCGTTCTACATTACTAATTTTCCCATCTCCATCCTTTTTTATTTTGCACGTCTTCATCCTCTACCTACCAGAGAAGAAATAAAACAAATTGGGTACCAATTCACAGCTCGTGTTTCTCACCCAGCATTCCACAATTCCTCTTAAATAACACTGAAACTAGGCTGAGAAATAGCACTGCACGAACTGCTACCTGTTGTACAATCTTATGGGAGCACTTATCTGTCAGGAGAGAACCTGGCTGAAGGGTAAGTAACTTGTCTTAACCCACCTCTAAGCATTTACGAAGTGGGAAGTCAGGGCTGTGTTTCTTATGTGTTCTTAAGACCCAAACAGTGGATAGGGAAACAGTTCTGTTATCCTAAGGAAGTAAGTTTATGACTGGCAAGGGAACTAGCAACTTATCCTGCAGTATTTAACAAATCTAATGCCTTAGGTCTGTTTTTAAAAGGAACCAGCCTCCCACTATAGACTTTAATAAGCTTTCTGTTGCACCCTATTAATGTTTTGACTGTCTCTCAAAAAGTGCAGCTGGATTTAAATATGTCCATAAAGACTGTGAGATGCTGATCTGCCTCCCCTGGGTGTGATAGGAGGTGGGGAGCAGAGGTCACAGACAAGGTGGTGGATGAAGTGGGACAAGAGGGAGATAAATGAAGAGAAGCAAGGAGCTGTGTTGCAAGAAGTGGACACCTCCACTTTATTAGTAGCGATTGATATATTGTATTTCCATCTTAATGCTTTAAAACATTTTCTGTTTCCTTCAGAAAGCTGTCGAAGAGAGCTGACAAAGTGTCTTGTTACCATTTACCCTGGGCAAAAGAGTTAGAGTTGTGTTTCCCATCAATTGTAAGCTCCTTCTGTTGTGTGTCAGGGCAGATCATGGATCCATCTGGCCGTAAAAGGCTTTTAGCACTGTCTTGATTTAGTTTCAGAAAGTTTGGGCAATGCTAACTTTAACCCCTGGTTTGGTGGTGGTGTTGTATGCTCCAGAGGCCTGTGCTTGCGTACAGGCTTTAGGCATGTGTCAAGCAAATCTGTGATAGCATGTAGATATGAAATACAGAAATCTGCAATAACATATTTGAAGATGTGTGTAAATGTTTGGAGGTTGGCATGTTATGGTATTCTGTGGAAATAAAAAGTCAGTCTTGCAGTTTGGGTGATGAATGCAGTTTATGAAATGTGCTGGAAGTTCAGTTTTACAGCTCTCATTTTCAAACAGCAGAATCCAGTCTGGTATTTGTTAGTTTTACAATCACCTGAGCTTTGAAAGGGGACAAAAGTCATACAAAACAATATTCAGGGACTAAACTCACTTGAGAAAATTAACATTTAGTCCTACAGTATTGCTTCCTTGGAGAAATGCCTTTACCTAGCTGCGGAAATAGAAATCAGTTTGGTTCAGCCTCCCCTTCTCATCCAGGAATCCAGTTCTGTAATACCACACCTGAGTGTATTTGATAAGGGTTTTAAAGTCTGTTATCTTTGCCTGCCCTTTCTGAGTTGGGTGTCTGTGGATGTGTGTTCCAGGGTAATTTCTAAGATTGCTTTCTGATCCCCACCGTACAGTGGCCACGTCTGCCTGCTGTACCGTGACCAAAAGCGGCTGGATGTCAGTGATGCTGTCTGCCTGCAGGTTTGGACAGCTGCTGCTCCCAGTCGTCAAGCTTTTTGTTCACCCTTCATCCTGTTATTTAGGAGGAATACGATCACCTAAAAACAAGCAGCAGAGTTTGCACATCACATGAAGATGCTGCCAGCACGGAGCATACCCTGGATCCAGCCCTGTGAAAGGGTTTGTAAAACAAGAAAACAATGCCCGTCAATATTTCCTCTCTTGAGGGCATGCTGCTGTTGGACTTGATTCGTGTATATCTGTTTATTTCTCATAAAGATGCTATGTTTGCTGCTGGCATTTGAGGGCAGAACTTGGCTGTGTCATTTTCCAGGCTGAATACCTTGAAATTGAAACTTGGTGCCTTTGCCTTTAGGGATTTGTCTAGCTTGTGCTTTTTCCTTACTACATTATTCTTCCTGCTGTCTTCTCTACCCTCAAGAACTGAGGAAGAAAAATTAATGTTAGACTGAGGCTGAGTTGTGTTTCCTTTTTAATCAAGTGGTAGAAAATCTTAGGTTGAACAGTCTATCTTTTAAATTACCTGGCTTCTGATATTTTAATTAGTTTTAGTATTACCAACTTCATGTTGCCCAGAGGGATGGCATTATTTCCCCTGCCTTTCCTACATGGCATACCACAAAAACTCTAAAATTTACCTAGCAAGAGCAAGAAAACAGCAAAGGTTTAAAGTTGGAAAAAGACAAATATCCTGGAACTTCTTCCAAGTAGTACAAATAGACAAGTACAATCGTGTTAAAACTGTTCCCAAGCCTTCTCATATCAGTATTTTAATACATTTTTTCAATAGCACAGCAATTCAATAAAAATAAAAACTAAAAAAAAAATGCTGAATGTGCTTCTAAGCTGGTAAATGGGAATTGAGAAGCAGTAAGCAAATATTGGGCTTTCAGTTCAGACAGTGGCTCAGTCTGATTTCTTATTATTACCCACCTCTATTTATTTATCTGAATTGACACTGAGTACCTGCCCTCCCGTTGCCTTCTCAGTACTGATATTTCAGTATTTTGAATACTGAGACAGTCTTGTTGAACGTGTTTTAGGAACATGTTCCTCATTGCCTACTGATTTAGGCTGGGTTTATTCTCTACATTTAAAAAACAGCGTGAAATAGATCTCTGGAGGTTTCTGGATGCCAATTAACAACTGAGTCCTCCCTTCTGTAAATAGCCAGATTTGATATTTACTTTCTTGATCTCATCTTCAGGTTTCAAATGAGCTGTTTGTGCTGCAGCCATCCAGAAGTATCAATACCTGTAAGCATTTTTAAATCCATGCTATTAACAGAGCGATTTGGGTGGATGGGGAAATAGCAGTGGGATAAGAAGCAGCCTTAGTATTCATTTGGTGCGTGGTGATGTTTAGGTCAGAGCTGCAGGCATTTGGGAGCCCAGGAAGGGAATGGTTTGGATATTTTGTGGAGTTTCCACCTACCTGAGGGTGCCTGGAAGAGTCCAGACCTGAAACAGGCTGGGATTCCTGCTGTGGTGGTAAAATTATTAACATTTATGATTTGAGAGGTCTGGCTAAGAAGGTTATGCTAACTAAAAGCACGTTCCTTCCAACTTAAAGCTGGCAGGCTGTGATTTCTTCCAGCTCCCACACTTCAGGTGCTGGGTGCACCACTCCTCCAGGCTCCACCAGGAGCCAGCTCTCCGTGTCCTCAGCTGTGGCAGCTAACAAGCTGCTGAAGGAGCCCATCCCCAGAGATCAATACCTAATTTTGTTAACATTAGAATGATTTTTTTTTCTCACTTTTCTTTGCTCTGAAACAGGGTATAAGTCAGGTCCCTGCACATTAGGTAGGAGAAATCCCCATCTGAATGTTTTCTTGCTATGGTGTAGCATGTCTTCTCTGAGATGCCAGTGAACTTCACAAAACATGAAGTCTGTGGCAGGAGTGTGTGCCACAGGTCTCATCACAGAGCTGAGAAATCTGGGGCAAGGAGAGGCCGTGAGACCCACAGAGAACGACATGAACCAATAATGCCATTAAAACGAAAATAAGAGGGGAAAAAATACCCTAGTAGTTACATTATTACTGCTGGTTGTCTCTATCATGTGGCATGACAGTCTATAGCTTGCATTTTTAAAAACGTCATCTATTTCTAAAACCTTTTTCCATATCCCTTTATTAAGGAGCAGTCCCTTTGTGACAAACAGCAGTTGGTCTGCTTGGCAGCAGAGCCGTCTTTTTTTAATAGCCAGGAGCTTGTTCAAAGAATTACTCTGAATTCAGGATACCAGTAAATGTTTTGGGGGCACCAAAATGAGGAGGTCAAACAGCAGCCCTGTAAGGCTGCTGCTTTTGATTAAATCTCTGAAAACTTTCTGATAGTGTGGTTGCAAGCTGTAAATTAAGCTATGTTGGTTTTGTTTTTAAGTTTCTCTTCATTGCCAGGAAAGACGTCTTCCGAATCCGAAGACTGAAGACCTCAAGTTTGTGAGAAAGATCTCAGTTTTCTTCAGACAGGATCTTCTGTTGAAGCTGTTTTATTTGTGATTGCAACAGCAGGCGTCCAGCCAATTAGGAGTGCATTGTATTAAACAAATCATAACCTTTTATTCCTTATTTCCCGACACCTGATCACCTCCCCTGTTTCCTACGGCTGAGTACTACAGGTTCACAAGCTACTCGTTGCTCCTCTATACCATATATGTGCAATATTTCTTTTTTGCAACCCTTTAATTTTTCCCTTTTCCCTTTTTTTTTTCCTCTTTCTTATGTTTTGAGAACCTGTGATCTGTGTTTTAGTGTTCTCACACTGCCCATCTTGTTTTTCTCAAGCTCCTACCTTATTTTTGGAACAGTGAGGCCTCCGACTGTCCCCTTATCTACTTGAGCATTTCTCCTTGTTACAACTGCACAGCTACCTTGGAATACAGAAAATTAGTTCTCTTGCAAAAACACAACTTAGTTTCTCATGAGTCCAACTTACCATTCACAGAACCAGCTGCTTGCAGGCAGTGTTAGTGTAAATCCACCCCATGCTCACTTCTGAGTGTCACAAGTGGTCTTGAAGCACCGTGAAAAGCAGCAAGGGCAGGGTTTTTCCTGAGCCTTCCCTGGAAATGAGCAGAGGAGCCTCGTTTAGCCGAGAGGGCTGCTGATGTGTGAGATCCCTGCTGGGAAGGGGACTGCAGCTGCCCAGGTCAGACCGAAGACCGTTTTCATCTCCCAGCCTGGTTGGGGTTTCAGTGGGAGCGATGCTGATTTATTCCTGAATTAATTTGCCTCCGTGCCGTTCGTTACAAGACAGTCAGGACGTGGTGGTACTTACCACAATATTTCCCCTTTGTATTGGCATGGGTTTGGGGGTTAGGGGTGGCCTCTGTGAGCAGCTGCCCCTGTGTCAGAGCAGGGCCAGCTCCAGCTGCTCCAAAAGTGTTTTAATGCTCTTGATTGACGTGATCCCTGCTTTTAAGTGCTGATGAGGGTGTCCCCCCAGATCAAATGTGCCTTCACATAAATTTATTCAGGATTACCTCGAAGTCTGGGCCAATCTCAGTAAGAATTGAAGTGTGTCCATGCCATGAGTTAAGGGGGAACAGGGCAAGAAAATAGAAACAAACCATTGGAGCGATTTTTCTCCATATAACTTTAAAAAATAAAATAAAGTGGTTTCTCTGACAACCTTTGGAAGCTTCTGATACCTCCTAGCCTTTCTCATGTACTGAGCTACTCCCAGACTTTCTTTATATCTTTTTTTTTAAAGGGTATCCCTGTATTTAACTAACTGTGTGACCCAGTCCAGCTAAAAACCTTTTCTTAAGCCATTAATCTAGTATTTCCAACAGAATGCCCTATTTGAAGTGAGCTGAAAACCCTATGAAGAGGCTCTGTCTTCCTTCTTTTTCAAGTCCAGGTACACTTACAGTAATACTTAAGGCCGTGAGAGCAATACCTCTGCAAGGAGGAAGGTTTGGGTGGCTCTGCAGCATTGCCTTGAAGCCACAACAGGGCATGGTGTGATTGAGGGGATGAAAATTGGTTCCCTCGTCTTCTGCTGCACATGAATATTCAAGTGTCTTCTGCTGCAAGTGAATATTCATATTTTGAGTAAGCAAAGACATACAAATATACTTTGTCCTGTCTACTGACTGATGTTTTTTGTTTTTTGCTGTGTTTAGCAGACATTTTAGATGAGGCAACGAGGAAGGACCTGTTCACCGATGCTTTCTGTAAGGTTTGCAGTGCAGTGCTGCAGTCTGAGTCCCAAAGGATGTCCCACTATGAGGTAGGCTGGAAGGGAGGACTTCTCCTAGCATGCACTGGGGTTTGGGTTTCTTTGGGGTTTCTGTATGGTGTTATATAAAGCTACTCAAGGCTTTTCATAGTCTTTCTTAAAGCTTAGCCATTAACCAGGTCTAAATGTGACGTTGAAGGACAATCACCTGCGTATTGCAGGGCAATTATAGAAGGAATTGAGCAGGTTTAGGCAACGCTGTGTATGGGATTGAAGCAGATCTACCCCGCGTGAGCCCAGAACATACGGACAGCATGGAGCAATGCTAACTACAGAGGAGTTCATTTCTCTTCACCCAGAGACACACACGTACTGCTCTGTCTGCAGGTGTCTGCGTGAGGCAGGTTGTATGAATTGTGCTGAAGGAGTTTCCTGGAACAAGTGTGTGCCTTGGGATATTGCTGTCAACAGAGGAAACTGAGCTTTGTTTTGAAACTTGATATTGATGGTTTGCCTGCACAGACATTTCTATCTTCTTGCCAGAGTTACTTCACAATGCCAGTTGCTCTCTGGTGTCTTTCTTGTTATTCACATTATTAATTAAGATTCAGGTCTTGCAAGCTGTCCTATTTCCTTACTTTGATTTATGTTCAGCAGCACTTGTCCTGTCAAACTGAGAGTCCAGACTCTCAATTTGAGTTTCTCTTTCTTGGATCCAAATCCAGCTGAGGATAAAAGATGCAATTGCAAAGTTACCTGACTTCACCATTGCAAAATGAATCGAGATGGAAGTAACTGACTCTTTCTCCTCAGTTCTCTTTGTGTTGTCTAGCCAGGTGTGATAGGACCTTTTTGTCTTTGGTAATAGCGATGTGATATCCTCTGTAGCTCCTCAGAATCCTTAACAGCCGCTTGGAAAGCATCGGATTAGAAAAAGACAAGCCACTTGTTTGACTTTGCGTGTTACCAGTGTGTAGCGTGGCACGTGGGTAAGTATAAGTGCAGGAGTGATGCACTGAGAAAGCATCTAAGAATTAATAAATAATCACAGATGAGGGAAGTATACATAAGATGGGATTTGAGGTTACTGGACTAATGAATGCGCAGTAGAATTCTCCACAGACTTCCTCAAAGCTGGAGATTGTCACCTTCTCCAGGGAGACCAGGCTTCTTTAAGAAGGTAAATCAGATCGTGCTGCCTGTCAGTCCTCTGTGCCGCCACTCAGGGTGGCCTTGATGTCAAACCCACCAGGTTTAGCGTTAAAGGAGCTCAGCGAATCTGCTCTGTGGCATGGACACGTTCCCTTCCATACTTGCTTTAGTGTCTGTGTTTGTAGGAGGATGTGTAAGGATTTTTGGTTCCCCAGGGTGTTGAGAGTAGGTGACTCTGAGGGCTGCCTGAGGCAAAATATAGCGCTAAATAGTGTATTACTGATTAAAGAACGGTGTTGTTACATGAGCTGGCCTTTGTCTGGTTGTGGCTCTGCCTTATACAAATGCAGTTTGGCAAGTGTTGAAGGCAATTGTGGATGAGTGAAATCCCAGTCGCTGGTTATACCACTGCTTGACCTCTTGTTAATGAAACAGGAATAATTCCAATCTCTTCTCAGAGCAAAAAGCATGCTCGGAAAGTTTGTCTTTACACCCAAATGCACGCTGAGAAGGATGAGAGGCAGAAGCATGGCAAAAAGAAGAAAGCAAACTATATTAATTTTCAGGTGACTATTCGTCTGTGTCGCTAACTAAACTGTTTTCTTGTCCTTCAGTAAGTGCTTAAGACTGAGCTTGATCTTGCCTGTTTTCAGGTGCATAGGAGTGGTGAAGAAGATAAATACTGCTGTCTCTGCAACATGTTCTTTTCCTGCCCAATTACTGCATTGTCTCACTACTTGGGAAAGATCCACGCTAAAAACCTGAAGCAAGCATCAAGAGACGAAGTCCTGATGGCAGTACAGAGCACACAGCCTGTTCCTGGTAAGAACTAAATAATCTGCATTGCGTGTGCTTTCCTTTTATTCTCTGAAACAAATACAGAGGTGTCTTCCTACACCTGCATGTCTCTTGGCCTTCTGTTCTGCCAAAGTCATGGAGCTGTGGCGTGGTAACTCCTTGGGTGGATAAACAAAGATACAAAATACCCAGTGAAACTCTGAAGCTGGGGAGCCTTTCTTTCAAACTCTCTATCTTTCTAGCTAAAGGCAAATATCTATGATTTTTTGTATTGATGAAAGATGCTTACAGTTGCTCAAAATAATCACTGCAGTCCAACAAGATGTTACTCTGATAAATTAATATGTTTAATTTAAAAAAAGAAGTCCTCAAGCAACACTGAACTGGTGTTAGTTCTGTACAAGTTGCTGAACTCTCCCTCTGCAGGGTAAGTCTCTTCTTGGACTGTTTAAAGCCCTTAGAGTGCACAGCCATCAAACAGAGTTGATTAATACTGGTATCTAATGGTGGGGTTTCTGAATATTCCATGTGTTCCTTATCACATCGTGCTCTTGTATCTTTGTAAGGACTAAGGGACTTTATGGGCTCTGGCAAGCAGTTCAGCCCCCAGCAGGCTGTTCTCCCTTCCAGCTCCATCGTTCTGCAATTACCTATTTTGCTCCATGGAATTGGTTTAGCCCTTCCTTTGCTGTGCCATCAGCAGGTTTATCCTCTGCTTCCATCTCTCCAGCTTTACAGAAGCCAGCAGCTGAGAAGCCCTTGCTGCCTTCAAAAGCTGAGGAGTTTGCATCAGCCTCCAGCACGAGTTTGGAGTTAAACGATACGAAGTACTGCCGGCTCTGCTGTGTTCCCCTCGATAATCTGTTCTCAGCCCAGCAGCATTATGTTGGGAAGAAACACAGAAGAAACATAGCACGGAAAAAAATAATGGAGGAGCTGGGAGACGAAGCTCTGCTTGCAGAAGTCAGAATAAATGGTAAGCAGAATGTGAGCAAGTGGGGACAGCTTGAGTAGTTAGCTCTGATTTGGGCAAGGAAATGAGAGACTTCTCCTTTGCTGCAGAACAAGTTCATTTCTTCCTTTCTGTTCAGTCAGTGAAATGCTGGAGTTCTATTTTTCTGACTAGTTTAATTCTTGTAATGTCTTCCATTAATCTTTTGTTCACCACACTGATTGCTGTAATTCCTTCAGTCTTCCCACTAGGAAATTTGTTTCCTAAATGGTCATTATTCTCCAGCCTCCCATCAGGACAGTCTCCAACTCTAGCACTGTGTCCAAGGCCCTGGTGTCGTACCAGTGCAACTTGCATTTGTTTTAGTGGGTCTTCTGTAACAGAACTGTTGATCATCTGGGCTTGTGCAACAGAAGAGTTGATCCTTCCTTTAGTAAAGAATTCAAAATCCCACTTGATACTCAGAAGTTGTTGTTTCAAGTCATTGTCATTCAATAAGTTATGCTATAATTTAAAGAAAATGGTGCATTTTGATGCAAAGCAGCAGCCCATTGAAATTAACACTGCATTTTGCTCTTGGGTTTGCATGGGGAAAACAATTACTTGGTGCTTTTTTAATTATTTTATATACTTATGTCTATGAGTAACACAGCTTGTAAGAGAAGAGAGCGTGACAACCTCGAAAACACAAGGACCTTAAGTTGTATTTGGCTGTCTCTGCGTACTGTATTTGTAATGTACTGTTTGACAGTTCTCTCAGCATCTTCTTGCCAGAGTTGAGCCAATGTTTTGTGAATGTTTGAACACTTAACATTTAAATTCAGACAAGATCAGTGTGAATCTGAGCTGACTGGTGTCTGTTGGTGCCTGCTTTGTGTCAGGTGCTTACAACGCTATTTAATTTTTCAGTACAGTTCATTCTTATCAGCATATGCTAACAGTTAGCTAGAATTACTTTGAATCATTGCAGTCATCAGAAGTACGCTTTGTTAATACTTGAAAATGGTTAAACTGCAGCTGTACAGCTCTCTTCCTAAATACTGTTCTAGTGTAAAATGGAGATGTTGCAGCAGAGATGTTGTATATGTCTGTAGGAGCTGATTATGGGAACATCATGTTAGGACTCTTGCATGGAGGGGGAGGATTGTGATGAGTTTTGCATTTCATTTGCAGTCTTTCTAACCTACAGATTCCTTATTCTCTGTGGCTTGGCGTGGTCCTTACATGTGCCGTGTTTGTGATGTCATGTTTTCATCTATAGAAATGTACCGGTCCCACGTGCAAGGGAGAAAACACCAGATTAGGTAAGTCACTAAGTCTTTTGTTACTCTTCCTCTGTAGCTTCTACTTTCAAGTTTCTACTAAAGACTTTGCCTTCTTCAGTAGCCCAGCTGTCTGCTGTTAAGGGACTTTGACCAGTTATTGTGGTTTTTTGGTTTTGTTGTTCTTGTGGGATTTTTTTTTACTGTTTTTGTTTTAATTTGGTTTTGGTTTGGTTTATTGCCTTTAAGGGTCACTGTCTGTTTTAAACATCGTACTTATGACTGATGTTCACTCTTGGAGTTCCTACAGCTGCAGCTTTGATGGCAGCCCACAAAAAAGGTCCTGAACCTAGTGGTTTTCCCACTTACTTTACTATCCCCAAATATTTGCTTTTCTGGGGACAGCAGCACCTTCAACTAGTTCTTACTTTCCCTTTAACCCGGAACAGGTACCGTAGCCTGTGGTAATTGCAGAATGGATATTGTGGTGATTTAAGATGTATCTTTTTTGAGATTGCTATGCAAGTAGGCCAAATATCAAAATTGCTTTCATGTTAGACATACTGATAAGACATTTTAAGTGAAGGTGCAATAAGAATATAACCACAGTAGTGGGACTGAATCTGTTCCCTGTCATTTCAGCTGATTTGGAAATATGATCATGTACAAGAGGTTTCATGTAGGTACAGAGAGCAACACACTTGGGATATGTTCTTTTTGTAACTCTGGAAGTATAAATAGTTTTATCATGTATGTCTCTCTGCCCTCCTGACTTTTTTTTTAACCTCAACAAATCCTAAGCAAATTGATCAATATTAATAACTGTGATTTTTCTATCCAATGTATGCAGAGCAACAACAGTTGTCAATCTCACGGAGAATTCAAAGAAAACTTATGAATTAACAGATTGCATTCAAGTTCCGAAAGCTACAGGTCTAGAGCAGAGAACATATTTGAGAACAGCAGAAGAGGAAGAGTTTCGAGATAAAGATGCCAAAGGAGGAAGTGACCTCGGTGGGGTTGTGTCTTCAACCTTTAAGCGTGAACAAGGCTGGCACTCCAACGTTTTCTCAGAAACCCAGTCATCTCCAAATATCGGGGAAAAGAGATCGCCCAGTTGGCCATCAGCTTGTGAGCATGCACTGGAAAAGACACCTAATTGTAACGTGGGACACTGTGCAGGAGAGCAAGCATCTGAGGTGGCCACCATCAGAGAGAAAGGCTTTAGACAGTCAGTTGCAGAATCTAAAGACTACTGCAAACTTGAGGTTGATGAAACTTTTACCAGCTGCTACAGTGAACAGAAACTTCAGATAAAACATAGCGAGGAGGAAAAATACATTAGTGAAGAGCTGAAGTGTAAGAAAGAAGCCACAACACCAAAAAGGAAGGAAAGTAGTGAATATGCAGATTTTGGAAAAGAAAACGAGAGGCAAAAGCAAATTAAATTTGACATAGACTTGGTAAATGAGAAGAAATCGAAGCCTTATAAAGGCGAAAGACTTGAACAAAACCCTGCTGAGAAAGAGAGCACTAAGCACAGAAAGGATGAAGAGAAGCCACAGACAGATGGCAAAACAGAAGAGCTACTTTGGGATTAATCCATCTTTGGATACTGATACAGGTTTTGTTTAGCTTTAAGAAGCTGATTCTGGTTGTAGTTTCTCTAAAGCACTTTGTAAAGTGCAGTGGCTGTTTTGCTGTTGTTGTCTGCTTAAAAACAAAGGTTTTGTTCCAATCTGGAAGCAAGGAAAAGTCAGTCTTATGAATCAATTGTTCATTGTTATATGTACACCAGCCATTGCAGTGATGTGACCTTGAAAGTCTGTAATCTCTTCTGGAATATTCCTCATATAAGGGACTATAGCTTACAGAATATTCTTGGAAATTCACTCAAATGTATAGCTTTTTTGTCCTAATACTAATAGAGATTTCTTTTAGTTTTGCAGGAAAGTACATGAGGTTACATGAAAGTACATGGCACGATAAGTAAGGGCATCACAGTGTTCCCAGCTACATCTGTAACATTTCTCTGACAACTCTTAAAGAAGAATGTGAAAGGCTTTTGATTCCAGATCTTACTTGCTACTGTTATTTTATTCCACATGTTTCTGAGAGTTAAAAAGGTTTATTAAATATGCAACTGGTTGTCAGATTTACATCTAATAAATTAATTTTTCTGATTGTAATCCTGATTCTTAGTTTAATTTTGAAAACCCAGAAAAGGTGCAATATGCAAAAGTAATAGCTAACGTGAGGCTTTTTTCTGCTTCACTCACTCAAAGTAATTTACAGGAGGGACGTTAGAATGAAGCTAGATCGGTGACCCAAATAATACTCTGAAGAATCAGTAACACCTTTTATTTGTTTTAAATAGTGTCATCAGACCTTCATTCATAATACGGACTTGCCTTACTGTGGCACATAAAGTGATGTCCTGCGTTTGTCCTATGTATTTAAAAGCAACGTTGTGACACCATTTCATTTCTCTCAGTGCCTTCAGACTGCAAGAAAGCTTTTTCTTAGCCTTGATGTGGGATCTGAAAGCCCCACATTGTCAAGTCGCACCACTGGGTAGTCTGTTTGTAGGGGCACCTGTGCTGAGCTGCTGCTTTCGGTGTATCTGCCCAACTGAATCTTCTTGTTGTGGGTGGTTGTGGGGTGGGGTGGCATAGAGACCAGAGCCCTCAAGCCTTGAATTCTGGCTGGTTTGTTTTGGTTTTGCAGGAAGAAGTAGGTTGAAAAGCCTTGTGAATAAAGTACTGTGTTTTTCTTAAGTATCTGTGTAGTTGTAGGTTGCAGTCTTGGGTTTAGGGTTGCTGTTTGCTAATGTAATAAATCTGAGCAGCTGGCATCTGAGCTGTCAGGTAACGTGGTCCATCCTCTAGCAGTCAAGCTTAACTAGAGTCATGCACAGCCATACAAAGTTGAGCAGGAACACGAACGTGCCAGTAACAATTCACTGCTCAGAAGTTTGTCCTAGCAGTCTCAGGAACCTGGTGACAGAGGTCCATGAGGTTTCAGCTTTAAGGTGTATTTAGAAATGGGGACGAGAGCAAGGACTCTAACCTTCTTTGAGGCTGATAATGCCTTTTCTTTCCCCGGTAGCTATTTTTCCTCACTCGGTAATTGTGTGCCTTTCTGTGTCTTTCAAAGGATTCCTTCTTGGCTTTCCTTAACCCCTGCTCTTCTGATGAGGGAGCCTCAGGTCACACAGTAATAACTGCTTTCCTCATTATTTATTTGGGAAGAGAGCAGGGTCAATCATAAGTTATGTTAACTGTTGGTAATAGCTGTGAGCAGTTGAAAACTGCAAACTGCAGGCTGCTCGCAGTGGCCTGCAGTGCAACTGAGGACATTTTTAAGCACTCTGTCTTTATAGGCTCTGAGAATAGGCTGAGAATAACACGGCTCTGAGAGTAACCTGAGCAGTGCTGCAGCTTGCTTCCCATGTAAGACAAATAATGACTTGTTCTCCCAGGACACCCATTTCAGCTTTGGGGCACTGCAAGATCTTTGATATTTCTGCTACTCTGACAGATGGGACTGTACAAATATGGCCTGTGTCTTAGTAGGAAACGCTTTTTCTGTATGGTCATGCACTCTTCCTTTCCTTAGGAAGTCAGTCTAAGGAAACAATTGGACCTCCAGCAGGTGGTAAGGCCGTGATGGGGTACTCTGCATGTGCACAAGGAGCAGATTTGTTGAAGGGACATAAGTGCCAGAGAGCTAGAGATCAACAGCTCTGAAAATACAGGAAAAGCATGATTTGGGAATTTCTTCTGTTCTTTCAGGGATTGTTCCCAATCTGTATTTGGGCTCCATACCTTCCTGCCCCACCCACTGGAAAGGAGTTCCACAAGCGAGGTAGAATAGCTCTAAACAAAGCTTCTTAGCATCAAACATGAGATGATAAGATCCCGAAAGAAGTGCTCTTGCCATATTTTAATGAAACCAAGATTAATCTATGATGTAAATGCTGCAAATGAGACATAGCAGATTGTCTCATCTAGCACAGTGACATACAGCTCTATGTTAGATAACTTATGTCCAATCTTCTAAAGTCATAAATAATTATTGTTCATGTGTTTCTTGATTGCCTTGTTCCTAGCCTATCACACTTGTGCCATTATCTGTCTACATGCTAGGCATTTTAAAATACTAGGCAAAGACTGATGGCTTTATTTACCCTTTATTGTAAATATGTCTTTTTTTTACTTCTTGGTAGCAAATGAATACAATTCTGTATAGTGAAAGCTAATTCTGTTCATCTGTTCTCATTAAAGCTGTCAAAGCATTTCAGTTCAATGATCTTTGTGGGTCCCCTCCGACAACTACTTCAAACAAGCAAACTTCAGCTTGAACCCCAGTAAGGGCAGCGAGCATCAGGGGGAGGCCAGGCAGCCTTCTGTGTGAGCAGGGGTAACAAGAAATGCCTCAAGCCGTTGGAGTCACTTGTTCAATGAAACATGTGGAGCCTCAGTGCTCACCTCTGAAAGCAGCTGTCAGCTTCAGTGTCCTGTGCAGAGCAGTATGAACGTGCTCTTCTGCAAGATGCTGTCACTTTTTAATTGTTTGGTTTCCCTTTTATGACTTTTTTTTTTACGTTTTTTTTCCTCTTTATGACCGGCAGCAGCACGTGAAAACATTCATAGTGAGATCCTGGTGCTAGATACGTTTGAGAAAGACCACAACTGAAACAGGACATCTCCTTCTGCGTCCCGTAAAGCGAGCAAGAAGTCGGTTTCACCGGGGAAGGATCTTGTTTCAGGTCTTGAGATAAAAGGGAGAACCACCGCAGTCACCCTGCACACCCTGAACTCTGGCTGTGGTTTCAGCCAGGCACACTGAGAGCGCTGCCACCTCCCGAGCTAACCCTACCCCTGGGGCATCCCCTCAGCATCCCCCAGCTGCGAGCTGGTCCAAGGGCATTTTTCTAAAGCCAGAGAGCATTTCAGCTGAAAACCAGCTCTGCTCACCAGCCAGAGCACAGAGATTAAAGCACCAGGCTGGGGACTGAGGGATTTGGGTTTTCTCTTCCACAAGCTTCTGGTGGGACTAACGACTCGCTGAGCGCTTGGTGCCAGATGAGCTCGTCCAGCTGCAGCTTTTTTAGCCTTAGCATCTTAAATCTTCTCATCCACCAGCGGGAACAGCCCGAGGGAGGAGGGTTCAGCCCTGCCAGCTGTGCTCGTGTCCTTCCAGCTGTACCCATTCCCTATCCCGCTGGTGTTTTGAGGTGAGGAGCAGCTAGGATCAGGGTCCTTTTTAACCCAGACCCACTGTAGCAGGTCTGACGACTATACAGCTGAACTGGTGCAGAATGCTGGTAGCACAAAAATGAGTCACAAAAGAAAAAAATAAATCAAGAAAACAAAAGTAAGTACAGTGCCATAAATCTTTCAGCAGGAAAGCTATAAAAGAAAAAAAAAAAAAAAAAGCAACACTATTCTGTATTTTATTTCAGAGAGATCAATTTCCAGCTGAAAGCAATGAAGTGCTATTCCAGCAGTTATTTCTCATGAAGATTTAGGCATTAACTCCTATTGAACAGTTTTCTTGGAGCTACAGCAAAATGCCTGCAGGATTGCTGCTGTGTGTGTGTTGAAATCCCTGCTGTTGGGTGTAAGTCTCAATTTCCACAAGTGAATGACGTTTTGGGTTCTAAGCCCTAAACACCTGCAGGAGCCTACTTTGCTCTACTTAGGACATGAAAGCTTGAAATAAAATTAAAATATCGAGGGCAGAAAGGGGGAAGAAGTGGCGCATTGTGTTTTTTTTTTTTCCTCCAAGATCTGTGGGGAAGACGGAAAGTCCAGGCGTGGGCAGGAGGGGTGATTCAAAGGAGAGCTTTAAAAGGAAATAGGATTTCTTAGAATTCAGATTGATGCTGGTTAAAGGTGTGTTCTGGGCACTGCTGGTGCTGCTGCACTTCTGGCACTTAGCAAACAGTTTAAATAAAGTTGTTCTCCCCAAAGCTTAGTGCTAGGCACCTCCAAACCACCCGCACTATAAACTCTAGCTCCACAGGGTGAAGCACCTTTACTGTTAGTAGGGTGCTATATGAGAAATAGCATCTTAAATAGGATACTTGATCAGAACTAAGCTTTTTCCCTTGAAATATTTCTTCTCTAGTTGCATTACACCGGCCTCTTGATGCTCTTGCCTGAGCTGCAGTGGCAAAGCCTTCCCTTTGTGTACAAGTTGGCAGAAATCACGATTTCTGTTTGTGTTCACTCCCTTGTGTTGGTAACGTCAGCAGGAAATAACACACCGAAGGACCACGGCATATATACACACTTTCCTCAGTGCTAATCGATTCTGTGAAGTCTGTATCCTTATATTCGTTCGGCTTCAGGTGCAAACTAAATTATATTTGGCACATGCTCATAAAGTTGGCTTTGGATAAGCAATGCCAGGATTGTGCGGAGAGGGCTTTGCTCTGAGAAAAACACCTCTCACACCTGCCACAGGAGGTCATGCCAGATGCTTGGCTGCCTGCCTCCTGCTTTGTTTACAGCTTTTTCTTCTTCTTTTTTCTAGCTTGGCAAAAGAAGACCTCAGACCACACTCATCTAAGAGAGTGCCACCCGTGCACGATGCCTGTAGCGGAGCTGAGCATCGCTGCCTGCCTGCAGCACATCTGAGAGCAGGGGGCTCGCCGGGCACAGCCTTTCATCTTCCCTCTGTGCTCGACACAACAAGAAGCACCAGTTAGCAGAGAAAAGAAGGGTGTGAGACCATACCCAAGAGCTGGTGGCCACCCCAGCCTCCACGGTGCAGGCTCACCCACCTCCAGGCTCACCTTGTTTGTTTATTTTTTTTTTTCCATTTATTTTTCTGCTTTACTAATGTCTGTAGGGTGCTCTGGTGCTGTTTGGATAGGCAAACACAAGCAATCAGGAGTAGCATTACCACAACATTTGCTAGCAGGGTGAGGCTAAAGCACTGGGAGCCCCCCAGCGTGATGGATTTGTTGCGTTTATGCTTCAGAAATAACGTGGATAAGACAAGAGCCTTCAGAGGGGATCAGCAAATATAAGCCTAGGCCAGCGCCATCCAAACAGCCTTGAATTTGCTAATAAATAAGCCCCTGCATCCCCATTAGGCACCTCTGACTACAGGCACTAAAAATCACAGGCAGGCGAATGAGTTGTCTGAAAGGAGGTTTGGGTGCCTTGTGTTAGGC